GTTGGGGTGGGAGTGGGGGAGGATGGGAGGGTGTGTGTGTTGTGTGTGTGTGTGTGTGTGTGTGTGTGTGTGTGTGTGTGACCGGATTGCAGGATGTGGAAGCCAGCGGAGCAGAGAAAGTCTGAGGCTGTGGGTGCAGGCCACTTCCTTAAACATTTGAGAGCAAAACATTATAGTAAGTGATCAATAACCATTTAATATTGACTTTTTCTTAATGGGTTTTTTTTTTTTTTTTAAATAATATCCAGAAAGACAGGTCAGGTAATGGTCCCAACAAGGAAAGTGCTCATTCTCTAAAATGTTAGGTTTAAAAGTTACAATTTCTCAATTGTTGGTTTTTAAATCACTCCCATATACTGGATAATTCTCAAGAGTTTTGTTTTTTGTTTGTTTGTTTGTTTTTGTTTTTTTTAAAAATATATTTTATTGATTTTTCTACAGAGAGGAAGGGAGAGAGATAGAGAGTTAGAAACATCGATGAGAGAGAAACATCGATCAGCTGCCTCCTGCACATCTCCTACTGGGGATATGCCTGCAACCCAGGTACATGCCCTTGACCGGAATCGAACTTGGGACCTTTCAGTCCGCAGGCCGACGCTCCATCCACTGAGCCAAACCGGTTTCGGCTGTTTTTTTTTTTTAATCAATGAACTGATGTAGTGCTTCATTTCCCAGCACACACTCTGTTGGACCCTGTTGTCACGGCCTCCTATGAACAACGAGCACAGACAACAAACAGCATCTTGGTGCAAGGTGCTAGCGTATTTTTGAGAGAACCTTTGCATTTCCTATGATGCCTGATATCAGAAACAGATCGAATAGAAATAGTTTAAAGTGAAGATAAAAAGGGAGGCATTAGTGAATCTGCTTCGGGGGGAAATTTTCCCTATTGATTTTGGGGAGGGTTTCCTGCTGACATTCCCAGAGTTCACAGAGCTGCCCATAATTTGCTATTAGTACTGACGATGCCGCTGAAGAGGCTGCTGCTGCTGCTGAATAGTTTATAAGCGGGAGGGAGATGTCAGGTCTCCGTTTGGAGGGCTGCCAAGTCTGAATCTCACACCTTGATGATGTAGCTCCTCTCCACTTCCACTTCTTCGGCTGCTTGAGAATATCTCCATCTGAATGTCCCATTATTAACTTAATTCAACAAGTTCACATTCAAACTCAGTCTTCTTTTAAAAATATATTTTATTGATATTTTACAGAGAGGAAGGGAGAGTCAGAAGCATTGACCAGCTGCCTCCTGCACACCTCCCACTGGGGATGTGCCCACAACCAAGGTACATGCCCTTGGCCGGAATCGAACCCGGGACCCTTCGGTCCACAGGCCGACACTCTATCCACTGAGCCAAACTGGTTAGGGCTCAAACTCAGTCTTTCAGTCTTCAGCTCTCCTTGCTGACCTCCTTCGTTTTGCTAACAGGACCATTGATCTAGTTGCCCAGACTCAAACATTGAACTGCTATCAAAGGAGCCACTTTGATGAGGGATTCCTATCGGGCGCTGTACTGCTAAGAGCTTAGAAGCATGAATTTTCACTGTGTTTAGTAAGCAGAGGCTGTACCCTCACAGGCCCGTCGTAGCCCTCCCTTTGAGTAAGTGTTCTGTCTCCTGGGACTGGGCTGACTCCAAAACCCTGTGAGGTAGGTACCAGCATTATCATTACCTTAAGATGGAGAAGTTGTGGCTAAGTGAGGCTGGTAAATTGTTTAAGGTTACTTAACTAGTGACTGGGGCAGCAGGACTCAGGCCTGAGACTGCAAACACCCAGAGCTCCACACCTTCAACCGCCTGTCCTGTTCCCTTAAAGTCACCTCTGAGTACCCTTCCCTTGTGCCTGATTGTGAAGACTGTGTCCCTACAGTGTCCGTGCAACTGCCCTGTTTTCCATTTCAATGTCACCACTCAGTTCGGCCTCTCATTGCCTCCCACTAGGACCTAGGTGGTCTTTCTGCTCTCTGCTGGTGGATTTCTCTGAAGGAATCGCTTCATGACTACCATTAGCTGAACGAAAAGCCTTCAGTGACTACCCGGGGTCAGAGCATTGCTTTCTAACCCAGACATTCAGGTTACCACCCACGAGCCCTTCCCATCTTAGTTCTGACCACTTATCTTTATAAACACTATTTTTTACCTAGGCTGGACTTTTTCCTGTACTCAGACCTCCTCTGTCTGTTGAAATCTACTTCATGGTCTAGGTAAGTGCTACCTCCTTCATGAATCTTTTCCTGATTCCCTTATTATAGTAATGATAATCTGGAATTTTCTTATAAAGTCATATCTTAGCCTGAACTGTGGTCACTTGTGTACTCATCATCCCGATAGGATGCTGGCCCCTCGGGTTAAATGGTGTGATACTAGTGTCTTTGTGGTTGGTAGTTAGGTAGTATAGTGCCTTCCTATGATTCTTACTCAGATGGACTAAATTTTATTGTTAGGTGCTGTCAGGATGTGTGGTCCACGTATTCAAGATGTTGTCAATGTAGTAAGGGAAACAAAACTATTGTTCAAAAAGCAGCTGGAGGATAATCAGGCTCCACTGTGAGAGGATGAGCGGAGAATTGGAGGAAAATAATGGATGGAGAAGGATTTAGAGAAAAGGTGAGACGTGCGTTTAATGCTGAAAAGTGAAGAAAGTTGCTGTAAGCGGAAGGGAAAGGCATAAGCAAAGGTAGAGGTGGGTGTGGGGGAAGGATGGCACTTTAGGGACAACTATTGAGAAGGAAAAGTACCAGGGAAATTCAGGATGTTTCAGAGTAAAACCATTCCCTCAAATTTACAGTGACATTTCTTTTTAAGAAAATGTTTAATTTTTAAATTGATATATAATTGACATAATATTGTGTAAGTTTCAGGTGTATGACATGTTGATTTGACACATTTATATATTGCAATGTGCTTACCACCGTGGTGTTAGCTAACACATCCATCAAAATTTCCTACCACAAGGCTTTTTGTGATAACCAGCATTCTTCCCAGTTAGTCACAAGTAGTGAGTTTTTACTATATTTTTATACGACTAGATAATTTCTAAAATTCATCATTGATGACCTGAATTACATACAGTAAATGGCAATATACTAGCAAATTGCTTCCTTTGTGCTTTTTAACAGCCATCATGTTTGTTGTTTATTTTTTTAAAATTGATTTCAGAGAAGAAGGGAGAGGGAGAGAGAAATAGAAACATCAATGATGAGAGAGAATCATTTCTTGGCTGCCGCCTGCCTGCCCCACACCAGAGATGGAATCCACAACCGGGGCACGTGCCCCAACCGGGAATCGAACCATGACCTCCTGGTTCATAGGTTGACACTCAACCACTGAGCCATGCTGGCTGGGCACATAATGTTTTAAGGTTTGATTCCTAACACAGCCTGGTACAGATGGTAAGAAAATCTCATGGATGAAATTTTAGAACTACAAAAAAAAAAAAGCCATTTTTATAATGGATTTTCTACATACTAAATAATTTCCTTCATTCTTATTTAGTCATGCAAAATTGCTCTATGATTGTTCCTGCTATTGTTCCAACAGGAGAGATGTTCTCAAATGTGTAATGAAAATATGAAGCTAATTTACTTACTGTTTTTGTAATATAATCCAGATTCAAAACTGGTCTATGGAGATTGACAAATATTGGTTGTGATAAATTATTACACAGACATTTTCCCTCTAAGGCACTAACAGAAAAAATAACAAAAATCATATAGTTCATTTTGAAAAGCTACTTCCAAAGCCAGAGAAGGCAAGAGATTTTAAAAGTAAATGTGTTTTGGGTGAAAAACGAGACATTGATACATTTTAAAACTATAAAGAACTGTTTTCCCATTTGTTAAATTCTTTTTGGTATGAATTACACATCATTTTTTCCTTAGGATTACCGTGTTGCTAATTTTCTCCATATGTGTACAATTTGTCTTTGACCTTTAACTAATGTCCTCTGGGCAGTCCACTTACCATCCAAGAACAATGCCACAGCATCATTTTACAAGCTGAAAGCTCCATAAAAACAAATGATCCATGGTACAAACTACATTAACCAGCAGAATAAGAAGCTATTTCAGCCCTATAAATTTTAGTGCCATCCATTGAAAACCACACTGGGTCACTTCTAAATTCGTAAGAACAAAATAGTAAATACACATGTCTTATGTGTTAGCCTGCCAGCGATATATTTTGCGGGAAAGTTTGTTAGCCTAGGAAAACCTATTCAAAGGCACAGCGAGCAGTGTATACTTAAAAGCAGCGTCTCTTTCGAATACATGATTTTATGTATTACAAATACATTTACTATTAAGCATCATGCATATTTAATATCACAATGATTACTTCAGTGCCTGAAAAAGGCTTTATTCACTTTATGGTTTCCATTATTGAAGAGCCAACATTGAGTTCTCCCACAATTCTGTGAAGTGCAGGCAGCTCACAAGAGCTTCTAGTTTTATCTAGCAGCCACGCGGGACTACGATAATTGTTATGAAATCATTAATTCTACCTCAGCAGTTTCAACTGTCAGGTACATGTAACAATAATTGCAGTTAATGAATGCTGCTCAATTTATTAAGTAGAAAATGAAAGCCAGTATTCTTTTATATGCAGCACTGAGACACATTAACATTAGTCATTTGTGTACACCATGTTGAATATCCTACTGTCATTTATTGGTCAGGGTATGTAGTCATGTATTTTTTTTTAAACTTCTCTTCCTTAAAAAACAATGCAGAAAATTCCAGCTCTTTAATGGAAGAGTAATTAAAATAATTAGTACCAAAAGCAATATTTAATAAGACTCTATGTCTATGAAAAAAATCCAGCAGAACCAAGACTTAGTTCCTTCTTGGGATAAATAAGATTCTTTCTTGTGCCACCCTTCCCGCCCCCAACCTTTAAAAGAGTATAAAAAATTCCCAAATCTTCCAGTTGTTTGAAGTATTAATATTTCCTACTCAAACCTTTTGTCAGTAAAACTTTTTTATACTTAGATACAGCCTATTTCTTGATTTAAAAGAAGTAATACTAGATTTCTTATTTTCAGTCACTCAAAGTAAACGGCATAGACATTTGCAAGAGCAAAGAGTGAAGAGTTTCTGAAAACATAAGATGCAAAGGTATCACTTTTAGGATTCCAGAGGCATCTACTCCCAATAAGTATGCTCTGGCCATGCCGAGGTCCAATGTGAACAATCACAATCAGCTTGTACCGTGGGATCATCAAGTCCTTGACCTGGGCTTTAATCACCTAGAATTTAAAAGGAAAAAATACAAAAAATGGTTCTCACTTAGCCACATTGAAACTTAAGAGTATTGCCCTTTGTCATAAATATAATGGATTTAATTTAAGAAAATAGCATGATCCATTGTAGATACTGTCACTAATTGTTGTAGAGCCATAACTATGATTTGCTTCAAGCACTGTCCTCATGAGAAAGGACATTTAGGGACAAAGTGACAGCACCAGCAATAAATGTACATTTTTCTCAGGCACATGAAAAAAAAACTGTAATCCAAAAAACAGAACTTAATAGAGTTATTATATTCTTTGGAAAATTTATGTTAAGATGGCTTCCCTTCAAAGAATGTTGGCATTAGAGTTACACCATCTTGTTCATGTCTAATGAAGAGACCATAGGTCTGGAGTCTCCTGCAATATGACTAATCATAAATGCTCATTAAAGACTTTGTTATAAAAGAGCAAACAGAGGAAATCTGATAGAGTGCCAGCACTGCAGTCAATAAAAATAGAAATGAATGCCCTTAAATGAATTTAAAGGCCACAATGTCTGTGTTTGATGGCCATCAAAGCTGCCTTGGGGAAGAGAAATGATCATTAAAATTTTTTATCTTTCACAATAATTTAAAAAAATAAATGGGGCAGTTTTATACATTTTTTAAATGAAATACATGCAAATGATGCACGTAATGATTGTTTTAGACAAAGGCTCTCACACAGAGATAGAATATGACCTAATAAATATTTTAATAAAATAAAATATAAATAAGCATTTGTACTGCTACTGCAAATTAATTGCTTTCTTCAAAAAGTAGGGGGTTGTACTCTCTGCAAATATTCTAGTTACAGTTAACTCTTTAGGCAAATCACACATTACCTCAGAAATTGTTTTAGCCATCTGTCTACAGAGCTCTGGGTCATATTGTTCTTCTTGTAGGTAGGTAGTTAACACATCTTTCAGAATATGATTGACGGTAACCACGGGAAAATGCTTGGTAGGACCTGAAAATATGACAAAATTTCTTCCTAAGAAGTCATTTTATTTATTTGTTTATATGTATGTATGTATGTATGTATGTATTGTTTTTAAGAATAGTTTATTGACTTTTTAGAGACAGAGGAAAGGAGAAGAGAGAAATATCAATATGAGAGCTTAACATCTATCAGCCATCTCCTGCACTCCCCCTACTGGGGATCTAGCCAGCAGCCTGGGCATGTGCCCTGACCACAATTGAACTGGCAACCATTGGGTGCATGGAAGGATGCCCAACCAACTGAGCCACACTGGCCTGGGCTAGGAAGTCATTTTATATCTTACCCGCCCACCTCACAGGCTAATTAAGAGTACAGAAACATGGAGAGACATTTAATCTTCTGTGTGGCCTTCATTAAAGAAAAAATGGTAGTCTTAGGCTTCCAGTCAAGTTCTCTGGCAGAGAATAAGACAGTAGACTCATCCATTTGCCAGACGACCTAAGGAGTGTGTTCAACCATCGAGGTTTGACACTGAAAAATATCCCCATTCCCAGTTCCCACTATTAATGACCTACGTCCAAGTCTCAACACAACACCTCTCTCCTGCTTCTGTCTACCTACCTACCACACAGCAACTGGATGGGTCGTTCTAAATCCAAGATTTTTTTTTTTTTTTTTGCTGTTTACTATGTTCTTAGGGCCATTCTTTCTTTAAACCTCTATTGTTGAAAGTGTTATATATGTCCCCTTCCATCTCCCCATTGACCTCTCCCAACCCATATGAATTCATTGGTTAATCTCTTCCCCTCCCCACCTCCCCTGCCTTCCCTCTGAGGTTTGACAGTTTGCTAGATGTTTCTATGTCTCTAGGTCTTAAGTCCCAGATCTTACCATGATATTTCACTTAGCAAGGTCTAACATTCAGCTCCCACCCTCCCTGTAGCCTCTTCTTCCAATATCACAGGCTCTGCATGATCCTGCAGTCCACCTCATGGACTTCATTTGTCTTATAAAGCTGCTTGTATATTGTCTCTTGCTCTCTCTCTCTCTCTCTCTCTCTCTCTATATATATATATATATATATATATAGAACATCCTTTCCCATCATGTTCATCTAGAAATATCCACTAATGTGTTTCAAGGCCAGTTCAAAAGTCTTCTCCAGGTAGCCTTCTTGCTCTCTTCCAATAAAAACCATCCCTCCCTTCTCTGCACTCCCAATGCACTGGCCCCCACCACTATCTTGGCTCCGAATCTACCTAACAGCTAAGGCACACCTGCCGTTCTCCCCAGTGAAATGAGAAGGTCGGCCAGATTTTTATCCTCTTCAGAGTTGAACACAGTGCTAATGGCATAAGAGATATTTACTTTATGATTTCTGAAATAAGACAGAATCAAACATTTAGAGCGAATAATCATGGTACAGATCATGGCTACTTTTACTGAGCATTTTCTACATGTCAGGCACTATGGTAAGCATGTCATATCTGTTACCTTATATAAACTTCCAGTAGTCTCTGGCGTGAATCTTACTGCTATCTCCCTTTCACAGGTGTGAAACAGAGGTTTAAATGCATTGTGTAACTTGCCCGGAATCACACAGTGGCAGAGCTGGGACGTCCCATGTCTATCTGACTCAGGAGCTCATATTCTTAACCACAGTTAGTCCATGTTCAGATAAGGAGCTTCAGATGGGTCTTCTTTTTTTTTTTTTTTTAAATATATTTTTATTGATTTTTTACAGAGAGGCAGGAAGAGGGACAGAGAGTTAGAAACATCAGTGAGAGAGAAACATCGATCAGCTGCCTCCTGCACACTCCCCACTGGGTATGTGCCCGCAACCAAGGCACACGCCCCCGACCGGAATCGAACCCTGGACCCCTGAGTCCACAGGCCAACACTCTATCCACTGAGCCAAACCGGTTAGGGCAGATGGGTCTTCTTTACCTGCCACTCCGGGAATCTGGCCTGTACCTCCTGGGAGTATTAACCTCATCGTCTTTCTGTCACTGTACAATGTGTACCATGTGCCCAGGGCCTGGGGTACAGGGACTTGATCATTATGTGCTGAATTGATATGGATAAATGGATGAGATGAAGAATTATATCCAATTCTATTTGAATATTCATCAGTATCTTTTCAGAGTTTATTTTTAATGACTGTATCTGTCAGGGCCCAAGGGAACACATGACACACTAAAGTTAAGACAATTCCAGGAGGACTTAATAAAGAGACTCCTTTGAGAGGTCTGAGCAGGATGTAGGAAATCTCAAGGAAACTGCCCCTAGGTTAGTGAAAGTGAAGGTGTTACCCTCATCCTACCCCCGGCTTGAGGGATATGAGAAAGGAACTCTTCCTAGATCCTAGAAGAGGCACGTGGATTAGGCTCCCTGGATAGCAGTTATGTCCTTCTGTTGATGGATACAAACAGCCAGAGATGAACCCACAGGCAGAGTGGAGGGAAAAAGACCCAGCTCACAGCCCTTCCACCCTGCGGCTTCCGACGGAACTTTCCCATTGGCTGAACTGAACCAGAAGGTTACAGCCCATGCTTGTAGCAGAGTTAGGTCAGCTTCCTGAGGCTCAATAAATAGTATTTTCAACTGGGAGGAGGGGAGTTATGGGGGGAAAAAAGAGGAACAAATGTAATAATCTGAACAATAAAGATTTAATTTTAAAAAAAAGTACATGATCACAATCAGGAAAAAAAATAGTATTTTCATTTTGATGATTGTATAGGAATTGTTCAATTTATATTCGTGTGGGAAATGCATCTGAACATGTAAAACAGGGGCACCTGATACAATGAGTGTGATAATTAACCCCAATAGTTAGCCAGCAGGAATCTCTGTTCTACAAGACAGAGATAAGCAGTTATAAACCTGTGAAAGGTTGGTCTCGGTTACTCCTGCTTTATGGGTCTGTAGGCAAGCTCCTGGTACCATAGACCTCAGAGTCCCTTTCTGTGGATCTTTTCGATTTCTACTCAAATATTCTAGTGAAATGAGGCTAAATTTGAGGTTGATTTCCCCCTTTCTATTTAAGAAAATTTAAAATGAACTGCCAGCTTAGACTAAATTAAGTAGATTACATCCTTTAGCTCCATACCGCTCTCTTTCTCACTCCCTCTGACGAAGCACTCATATCATACATACCTTACGTTTGACCTACATCACCCACATGACACTTAATTTAGTCATGTGCTATGACAGTGATGGCGAAACTGTTGAGCTCGGCGTGTCAGCATTTTGAAAAACCCTAACTTAACTCTGGTGCCGTGTCACATATAGAAATTTTTTGATATTTGCAACCATAGTAAAACAAAGACATACTTTTTGATATTTATTATATATATTTAAATGCCATTTAACAAAGAAAAATCAACCAAAAAAATGAGTTCGCGTGTCACCTCTGACACGCGTGTCATAGGTTCGCCATCACTGTGCTATGATGACCATATGCATTGCTCCCTTCAGAAAGTAGTAAACTCCTTCGGTGCGGAAGCCTGTCTGCCTAGTACACCTCCCTGCCATTGGGAACAGCGTCTCCCTTTCCAGGAACTGGTCCTCTTCCTACACTGACCACATGGCTCTTTAGAATCTCCCAGGGCCTCCTTTGAGCCCAAGGCCAGGTCATGGTTGACTGGCCCAGAGGAAACACTTGCCCCAAGCCAGGCCAATTGGAGTCCTTTCTTGGAATTTTTAGTTCAGACTTGACGGGGAGTAGGAGAGGATCAGGCTCTTTCTGTGGCAAAGTTATGCCGTGTGATCCTAAGGAGCTGCTGGGGGCCAGTTTGTCACAGTGGGAAGGAATCCAGACACAGGGAGAGGAGGAGCTCACACAGTTTGGTGCTAGAGAGACAGACATCTGGGGGCACTTGAGCCTGTTTCCAGTAGCTCCTGTTGGCCAGATGGACCAATGTCTTTTCTGTGCTTTGTTACTTAAAAAAAAAAAAAAATCTCATTAACTAGATTCTATTGTGAAATAGAATGAGCTTTTCTCACTCCTTTGTGACGTCCCCCCTCTACAGCCACAATCATCATTGCCTTGCTCAGGCGGGGATGCTGAGATGCAAAGAGAAAGCAATTATCAGTGTTCAGCTGTTGACTTTCAAAATCAGCTCCCCGAAGCTACTTTCAGAGTCAACCGATGTGAATGCCAAAGCTACTTCTTTCTTTTTTTTAAAAAAATATATTTTATTGATTTTTTACAGAGAGGAAGGGAGAGGGATAGAGAGTTAGAAACATTGATGAGAGAGAAACATTGATCAGCTGCCTCCTGCACACTCCCTACTGGGTATGTGCCCGCAACCAAGGTATATGCCCTTGACCGGAATCGAACCTGGGACCCTTGAGTCTGCAGGCCGATGCTCTATCCACTGAGCAAAACCGGTTAGGGCTCTTTTTTTCTTTTTCTTTTTTTGAGATAATTTTTTTTTCTTTAGGAGGGAAACATTTTTTTTTTAGAAATAAAAAAATCAAGGACCTGAAGAAGGTCTTATGGATGAAAAAACAAAACAAAAAAAAAAAAAAAGGAAAAACTTGTCCATAAAAATAGATAAGAGAGAATAGATAAAAAATTTAGTCATTTAATATATGTGTCTCAGTTTCCGCAAACTGAGATAATAATAATAATGACCAAATATTTTTTTTTGTTAGGGTTAAATGAGTTGAACTTTTTAAAGTGCTTACAACAGTGCCTGCCACACACACACACACACACACACACACTCACACACTCATTAGATATATGTTGTTGTTGTTGTTGCTACCTTATTCTGAGGAAGGAAAGGGAGTGCTGGTGCTGAGAAGGCAGCGAGATCAGTGAGGGTGTCAGTAGGGAAGGAGGGAGGCCTCCACGGGGTGGGGTGAAGTCTGAGCTGAGAGACTCATAGGCTGTCCAAGAACACATCTGATGACAGGGCCTAATCTTCTCACAGAAGGTGAGCTCCAGGGAGAAACCAAGATGGCGGCATAGGTTAACGCCGGAGATCGCTGCCTCAAACAACCACTTCAGAGATATAACT